TACTTGGTAGGGAGGAGTGGGTGAAAGGCAGCGGGGTGTGGAGATGCTGCCTTCAATGATGGGTTTTGCTTCTGTGTACTATTGTATAAAATAAGACTCACTCGTATATTTACATAATGAGACCATTAATTAGTGCTGTTAGATCATACTTTCAAAAGTCTGAGTAGAATAGCCCTTCTGAACTTTATCTGCCCAGTTTCAGCAAGGCCACAAGCTCTTATTTTTTATACTTATGTTCAGGCTTTTTTAGTCTCGCTTGAATGTTTTGTTTTACTCCTGAAGATACTGACTGGGAGAAAAACATCACTTAATTTCTGCTAAGATCCAGGCTTAATGTTTGAGCTTGACTTTTCTCTACCTCTGGGGTTTTTTTTTTTGTTTTTTGGTTTTTTTTTTAATGTTTTATGTTTCCTCATTCAAACAAATTAATTAATAGTTCTTTAACATTATATAATCAAAGAATATTAGGTTGTTACAATCACAAACTAAACAAGAGAGTTAGGCAAAGCAGGCTATGATAACAAAAGAGAATAAATAGAAAGCTTACCCCTATACTGGGCTTGCTCACAAAACACCAGCAGAGGCAATCTCTAAAAGAGATCCTTCCCCACTGGTAGCCAGCTCTTAAATAGATCTAGGAGGGCTGGAGCCTGGCTCCACCCCTTCCGGCAGCACAGGTGAATTGCCTTCACCTGTGCTCCTCTGGCTGGCTCATGGCTCGCCTCAGGTGATCAATCAGAGGTTCAGGCCATGACTCAGCAGTTCCCATACACTCCACCCCTTCACGGCATGAACCAATGATCAGGTTAACTAAAGGGTAAGCTTTCCTTAATACAAAGATCCACTATATCGTGACGCTTATACAGTTTTCATCGCGACGTGTGTTGGTACAATTCAAGACGAGTGACGATCAGTGGATGTCCATATTCTTCTATGGGCCAGTGCTCGATGATGTGACTGGAGGCATGAGGTCCTGAGGTGCAGGCCCATTCTATGTTCCATCAGTCCCATGCAGACCATCACCAGGTGTTGTACATGATCTGACAGCAACACTGGAATGCTTGATGGCATTTTGTTCCTTCCGATGATCCTGAAGGCTCACAGACTCACGGGGAGTAATACAGATGTTTCAGAGGTACCAGGAGGGGAAGGTCTGCTCTCCAGGGCAAGATACAGGCCGTATTTCTATCCTGGGTCAACACTTCCGCTTGTACTGGGGCACGTCCTGGCCACCTGTACCACACCTTCTGGCCAGATGTCTGCAGCTGTATAACGATATCAGGCACCAAAGGAGGTGTCCTGATCTGCCACAGGGACACGATTGGGATCCCTTTAGCGATAAAGATCGGAGTGTTGACCGCAATATCAGTAGGCCATGTACCTATTACTGGAGGGACTACTGAGCCTCCCACCTCCAATAGTCTCCCCCAAGGTGCAAGTAGGCCACACCACTTGGGTCCTACCTGCACCTTCCAGGGCCATTTTATTTTATGGGTACCCGGATCTAAATTCTCAGGGGCAGGGAGCAGAAGAAATTATAGAAATTTCAAAGAAAAGACATGATGCAAATTTTAGTATACTTGGCCTGCCTGGCCCACTAAGTGTACAATCAATGGATATTAAGATGTTACAATCACAAACTAAACAAGAGAGTTAGGCAAAGCAGGCTATGATAACAATAGAGAATAAATAGAAAGCTTACCCCTATACTGGGCTTGCTCACAAAACACCAGCAGAAGCAATCTCTAGAAGAGATCCTTCCCCACTGGTAGCCAGCTCTTAAATAGGTCTAGGAATTGCCTTCACCTGTGCTCCTCTGGCTGACTCATGGCTCGCCTCAGGTGATCAATCAGAGGTTCAGGCCGTGACTCAGCAGTTCCCATACAAAGATCTTTTCTTAATATATCTGGAACCATCATAAAGATGTTGATTTGGGTTAAAGACTATGTCACAAACAGTCATTTGTAGGAAGAGCGGAGAGTTTGCTCCACCTCTGTTCTGTGCCATGCCCAACTGAAAACATGACCAAAATAGCTAATTTAGAAACAGCAGTTAAAGGATCCAAACGTAAGTACTTTTTGTGCTCTCTTGGGAGTGTTTGAGCTATTTATGAAATGCAGGTAGAGGAATTAACATTTCTAAATAATTCTAGAAAGAATGATGGTGAGAGAGATCATTCTGGATTGTGTAACATTCTCTTCCATAAAAATATTTTCCATTTTATTATGTGGAACATTTATAACCAGAAGGATTCATGCAGAAGTCCAAAGTATAATTGTGGCAATATAGAGGGAAATAACACAGCAGAATGAAATTTGCTTACCATGAATTACAGATTAAAGTGTGGTCAATATCTGTGCTTGCTTTTAACTTTGGATTGAAGGTATGGTTATGCCATAGAGTTAATACAGTGAAGGGAAAATTGCATGCAACATTTCTCTTTCATCTCCTAGCACTTTCCAAATTGAAATAATTTATACTCAGGATATTAAACCAAATAGAACGTACATGAAGTATGTATCTCTACCAACTAGATCTGTGTAATCATGTAGTAAAAGGCAGCTCTTGATCTTATTTTTGTGTTTAAAGTATATATATCAGATAGAAAGGAGGGGGAAGAGGAATACCAGAAGGACTGGAAAGGGGCTTTAAGCGCCTGTCCCAGTATAGCTGAGGAGGCTGTACCAGAGGCAGGAACTGCTCCCCCCAGAATCTCAGCTAGCGCTGCCATAGCATTCTCTTCAGTGAAAGAGAGCTGGAAGATAAATAAAAAGATTAATGGGTTTGTCTTGCTTCCATAAAGCATTTAGATTGGTATCAATATGAAGTTTGAGTCTTGTCTTATTCTATCTACAGGAGTTTGTCTGTCTCATATCATGGTTTAACTTAGTTATGCATTTTAGCCGCCTGGTCTGTTTCATGCTAGGTAGTAAATACTGTCTCTTTTTAACAGTTGAAATGTCAGGAAATGATTGTTTTGAATGTGCAAGATGAAATCTGTGAAATGCTGCATTTCTTTTTCAGTGAGCTCTGAAAAGGAGCCCAACATGGTTTTCTTGTTTATAAGGCAAGGACTGGAACTGACCTTTGGGGTTGCAAAGTCCAGTGCAGCGAGTTCAGGCCAGTGCACAGACACTACATCTTATAATCTCTTTCACATGCTCACAGACTTGTTTTGTGGCATGGGTTGTTAGGTTTATTTTTTGGGGGGCTTTTTTTTTTGGCTGCGTTTGAGCACTTTACTGCAAACAGACACTAAATTAGGAAACTAGATTTTATCCTTTGGTGGAGACTGAATCCTGAAAGCCCTTGAGCAGAAAGTAGCTTAAAGGATCAGTTATATTTCAAGATGGTGATGTGCTATGGAGGTGTTTTTACTGGGTTATGCCTGGCATCTTGGGAGATGCAATGTAGTCCAGTGGCCATTGCACTAACCTGCCCAGTGATGCTGCCTACCTTAACATTTTGCATCCTGGTTTCCCCATCCGTACTTAAAGGACAGCAACTGCAAAGCTTAAAAGCCTTAAAATCTGCTGATGAACAGCTTTATATGTGAGTTGTGCTCTGTATGGGGCAGGCCAGAGCACTCCTGTTATTGATGATTATTTTACCTAAATAATCTTGATCCTTTCTTACTTTTTTATCATCATCAATGTAAGTTGAAAAGGTCACTCCTTTCCCTAACAGTACAAGTTCTGGTTTTTGGTTATTTTTTTTCACTGTTTTTAAGGATATACAGTATCATAGATGACAGATACTGCACTCCTTCATGCTGTTTAAATCATTCTCTTTCTATAAGAAAGCAGATTTTTTTAGAAACCCATTCAGTTTGTTTTCCATTGAAAAAGAAAAAAATGGGGCCATTACTTTACAAAATATTTCCTCATCCTAAGCATATCGATGCCTACCAGATCAAGTTTTAGACAAACAGAGGATTTTTAACGGGAATTTATCACTCATTAATTTTGATCTAGAGATTCTCTTTTTTTTCTCAAAACTATGTTTCATTGTCAGACCTTTTTTTTTTCCCCCCCCCCGGGGGGGGAGGGAAGGGGACACAATCAGGCTTTTTTGTACATAATGGAATAATGACATAACCTTCATTATAACATCTCAAATGCAACAATATAATACATTTACTTAAGTCTGGGAGAAGGAAACCAAACCAATTTATTATAGCCTGTTGATTCACACTCACATGCTGTGCAGTTCGTGTGAAGGCCCCATTTACTTTTTCACATGAACAGCCACAGCATGGTTTAAATAGAGATTTCTCTAGCAGTGGTGTTAAGGCTCCTTATTAACATCATTTCTGGAGTCACTGGGCCAAGTATATCCCTAGTGCAATTCCACTGATCTCAGTGGGGTTATCCTTGAGATATATTTGCTCCATTGTTTCTACAGAATCTCTTTGTTCTTTTTTGATCTCTTTAAGAATTTTGTTACTTTGAAAATTTCTTGCATAGGGAGTCATAACATTAAAAAGTTCGCAACATTTGTAAGTACCTTTTTAGGTATTTTTTTGCACGTTTCTACACAGATCAGAAATTATATCGAATAACATATTGCTTGTTTCTCTCTCTCTCTCTTTTTTTTTTTTGTTTAATTCCAAAGCTTGATGTGGCTACCAAAACGTCTGAGGCAGACTGCATATGCATTTGGCATTATCTTCTGCCAGCTCTCTCTTGCAATTTTTAGAAACAAGTATTTATTGAGCAATGAAACTCCCAATCCTAATATATTCTCACCTGAAAAGGCATGCTTTTATGACGTTGTGTCAGTCATGTATGTTTATCTTCATGGTTGTTAGTTTCGGTTTGGTTTGGTTTTCATTTTTACTTCTATAAAGCATTGTGCACAACTTAAATAAATAAATAAGTAGTCAACTGACCACCAAATTTTTGCTCAAGTTGGATGTGTAGATGTGTAGTTAATGACCATTTTGTACATTACACCATTACACATATGTATGTGATTTACATTATTTACTTTTTTTTCAGGAGAAAAAACAGTTTGACTGGACAAGAGGACAAAGAAAAGTGGTCCCTTGGATAAGTGGTGAGTAAATGGAAAATATATCTTGTTCTCAAAATGCTCGTATCTCATATCCCTTTCTGTATATTACTGAAGGTTTGCACAGGCATTTGATGGTATCATTAATTTATATTAATTTTTCCAGAAAATTATTAACTCAGCACATGCACCTCTTTATTTGACTTAGCATTTAAAGAGTCTGGCTCTGTCAGAAATTTTAATTCACCAAAATTAAATTTGATTTTCACCAAATCCATAATCAGCAGAAGAAAATGACTTGGACCAGGACCTCTGGTTCCCTGAGCTCATACTTATCTTCTTGTCAAGATCTTTTTATTCTTCAAGAAATAATTAAGTCCTGACATGAGATTGCGTTTTGCAGGGAACAGCCTACAGGCTCTAGGGTAATTAAACCCCTGCTTGTTAACTAGTGCTTGAATAAATATCATTTGATTCTGTTGATAACCAACGAGGACGTGCTAGCGTGGAAAGTTCTAGTGCCAAAATGACTTTTGTGCTACAGATATGTGTTCAGGAAAGTGCTGCAGCAGAGCTGTACCTGTGAGTTGAGTTACCTATTGAGATACAGCTGTAATTGTTGCAGATTTTCCAGTCTCTTCCAGTATGTTCTTCATGTTGAAGGGAGAAATGATACTGCCTCTAAGTAAGGATGTGAAAAACCCTCTGAAAGTACTCACTAGCAAAGCTTATTTTCAAACTGCACACACAGAATTGGTTTATATTTATAGAGATTTGTATGTGAGACAGAATGGAAAAATGTAATCTAGTTTTATTTAACATCTCTCTCAGAATCCTAAAAACTGCTTTCAGATGAATTAGGTGCTGTAAGTATAGTCGCTATGCTGGAAAACATTAACAGCCAAGCTTCAGTCAGCAACAACCCTGCATATTATATTACGTGTTAAGAAAGTGAATGCTAGTTACAAACCTGGGGTTGTCTCTGTGCGCTTTTCAAAACTGCAACGTGATCATTTATCTACAATATTAGAGCTGAGATAAAGAGCTGAGGGCCTCATCTGAAAGCTAGCATTGTCATGCATCACCAGGTACGTCAATGAAATGTTCCCATTATACTTGTCCAATCGCAGCATGCTATTCATGTCTTCCTGATCTGCAGATCACTGAGACCAAACAGGAATCTGTTGAGACATATTTTAATTTTGATCTTTGCACTAGGAGTGATCCATGAACAAAAAAAAGTACAAAAATGAGGCATTAAGCAGTAGTACCTATTTCCTCATTAGCTCCTTGAATTTTCTAATATCAGCATCACAGATTTCAGAGAGTACGTGAAGACATGATCTTGCGTCACGTAACATCTGGTCTTGTGCAACACAGCCAAGCCTCTTGAAGGAGGAACACAAGAGACGGGACATACAGTTTGTCCTTAATGGTTAAACACTCCGCAGAATTTCCCATCTTTGGGATACACATCTTGCAAAATGCAGCACAGACAGAGAGTCAGGGTGCCATTTTGACATAATTGTAGGGCTCTTGGGTGCTAACGGCATCACTTCTCCAGCCCCCAAGCCTCAGGGAAAGCAGGTGAAAAGTAAGAGCACCTGGAACTTTTTACAAATAAGAGCCTGCATGCATGTCCTGGAGGAACATTTCTGCCTGGCAGATATTCCTGGAAGATTTTGGCTGGGTCTACATTCTGTTTCTTAAGGGCCCTCCTCCAGAGGCTGGTGCAGATGGAATCTCTTCACCAGGCCCTCCGAGAGCTTCGGAGGGCCATCGCATTCTCACTGTTCTTCTGTGCAGGTGAGGAAGGGCACCCTGAACAGCTCTTCACCATCTGGGGGTATACTGATTTTCACAGCAAAGCCAAAAAACAGATTTTTAGCTGCAGGGTAATGTGATGAGAGAGCTTGAATGAAAATAACTTTTTCATCCTGGGAGTATAAGAGAACTTTGCATTATTTTTACCTACCAAGGTAAGAAATAATAAATACTCCTCAGAGTATAAAGCCTCAGTTGTATCTGATTTACAAAAAGAGGAAAAAACAAGGACTTGGGGTCTTAAACTGCGTAGTGCAGTTCTGGACTGTTGTAATGATCCTTTTCAAGGCACTGCTTTAATGTACTCTCTGGCTAAGCAAAATGAAACGGAAGATACCTCATCAACTTCTGTGTTTAATTTCATTTGCAGAAACTCTATGTGTAGAACTGTACATAGCCTTTTTAATAGTGTTGGATCCACTGTCAGCTGAAAGATACTTGGATGAAGTACTGGAAATTATTTTAGTATTTTCAGCAAGAATCACTAACAGTGATGAGTAACTTCCTGGCTATTAAGTGCATCAGGCAATGCACATTGTTCCTCAACCTGATAAACTCTTAGCTGGGAACTTCCCTTCCCTGTGGTTGTTGATCTGCCCTGGGTTTTTTGCCTGCCTCTTCAGACCAGGCTGCTCTGTGTGATCTAGTTGAATGTTGAGCAATCAGTACCACCAGGGCTGTGTTTTTAATGAGAAAAGCAGTTAAGTAAATGGAATGTCATTAAGACATACGACTGTTTTGGAGATGATGCCAGCAGTATAACAGAAAGTTACTTTAAAATATTACTTGCTATACATTTATTTTTAATGCATATGAAACTGTAGAAACAAACCACTTTAACTAGCTGAAGCAATTGAGACTCTTTGCATGTGCTATTTCAAATCCCAGTAGTATTTCAGCCTCTTGGAGTTGTCTCTTGAACTGTCAAAGAGAGATCTGGACAGTTTCTCAGTGTCTCTGACTATTAAATCCTTAAGTGATGTGTCTATATGCTTAAGGAATGGGTCAGCTTGCAGACAGAAATGTACCAATGTTTAAAAAAAGGAACAGATTGGTTACTAGCATATTGCCATGAAAACCTTTGCCCTCAGCTGACTGGGTTTGTTCCAAGATTCAGTGTTCACTTTAACATTATATGAGACAAAGTGATGTGGCCAAATATCCATATGTTTTGTTTTGTTTAGGGTTTTGTGTGTGTGTGTGTGTGTGTGTGTGTGTGTGTATGATGCGTTGCTTTGAAACTGTTTAGCTCAGTGCCTTTAAAGTTCTTTGCTCTACCATTTCAGTCAGGTTCTAAACACAATTGAGCGTAACAAGAGGCAAGGAGGAGTTGTTACAACTTTGCTAACAAAGGCAATACTTCTTTTGGTATGTTTTTCTTGTTTTGAATCTGTAGTGACGCTTTCCTGTTTAGAAAGAACAAATGTCCTTTTGTTGTGAATCCTCCACAGCATTTGTGGCTCATATCAGTCACACTGTTATTAATAAACCAGATAAGGTTTTGAAATGCTAGCAGTTACTCCTGCTAAGAGTTGTTGCCTGTTTGCTAGGTAAAATGAAGATCATCCCCCTTCTCTGGCAATGAGCCTTTTGCTGCTGGCAATTCACAGGACCTCATTTCTGTAAAGCACTGATTGCCCACTATTAGACAGTAGGAGCTGGGAGAATCAATGAAGAATTCATAAAGAAGAAAATGAAGGATTTGTCTATGAGTAGGGGCCTCAGATCCGCTTTTTGGGATTTTTTTTTCTCTGTTTCGAAGATGCATAAGAAAGTAATTGGGCTTCTTGGTTTCCATAGTAAGAGCACCAATTAAAGATTATTTATTTTGCTTTCTTAGCAAATTTAAATGTGTTTAAAAAAAAAAAAAAAAAAAAAAAAAAAAACAGAAAAAAAAACAAAACAGAATAACACAGGCAACAAGGTGGAATCTGTTGTGAGTCATCACTTTCATTCTCAGTCAAAGTTCTCTATTTTTTTCATGGCATCATAGATGTAAGTCAATCTCATATCCTTTCTGTTTTTCCGGGAAGTTCATAACAGCTCTGCAGGGACATTTTAGGATCAGGTGGGCAAAACTTTTAACAGTTTGCAAACACACAGGTCCCTTTGCCTTATCCACAATCACAATTTATAAAGGAAGAGAGTTGTTCACATTTCTTGAAGCCAACGTATCGTTTGGAGTATAGTTAGGGAATGCAGCATTGGATGATTTTGCGTATGTTAACATCTACCACTAAAAATAAAGTGTTAATAATAGCAGTGGTAGCTACTGCAACATAATATACAAAAAATAAGGACGAAGGATGGATCCTCCATCTCAAAACTAGCAGATCTGTAGGAATAAAGAAGTGTGAAAACAATCTTTAATTGCTTTTTCTTGTTCTCTCAGTTTGTTCCCTGACATTGTGGAAAAAAAAGAAAATAAATAAAAGGGAGAAGCCTATTTATAGTATTGCTAGAAAAAAATCCATCAGAATTCTTTGCCCTTGGAAAAAATCTTCTAGAAGATGGTAGCTTTGACAATTCTTCAGTAATTGGGAAACTTCAGGAAAGAATGTACAAAGAATGTTAATGAATTTTCTACATACTGAGTTTGAATTGCCTCAACTAATGTGATTGACATGTCTTGAAAGGAGGAGAAGCTGAACTTTAACTTTTGTGCTTTAGATAAGATGAGGTTCTGCACAAGATATCTCACAGCCTCCAACCCATATATATATATATATATGTGTATATATATATAATATATATATATTGCTAGCAGCAAAATGCTTGCCATAGCTTGTTGAAATTGGCAGAGAGTTTTTTCATTTTTACATTAATAGAAATTTGGTAAACCGTAAGAAAATTAATCAGTTAGAGGTGATATCCACAGAAGAGACTTATTTATAGATACTCTTAGACTTCTTATGTTGGGCACGCTAGAATCTCCTTTGCAAAAGATGAAAGTGCCTAGAGAGCCACCAATGCCAGGCAACAGGAAATGTTGACCATGAAATTCCAGCTTTCTTTAGAACTGTCTTCATAACTCTGGACTAGCTAGGAGTGGCATGTAAAGGAGAAAGACTAAGCAAAGCAGTGTGTGAATGAGACTTTAAAGTAAGCTTTACTTGGAAGGAGAATGCTAGGGATTTATTCCCTACTTGGCTTAGCTTAAAATAGTGAACTGTTAATCAGAACAGTCTGAAATATTCATCTGTCCCCTTCCAAGCAAGTTC